GTGGAGCCCGGCACGGTGCAGCCCATCCCCGAGGCCCACAGCCTGTACGTCACCTTGATCCTCTCAGACTCGGTGCTGAACATCTTCAAGGACCGGAACTTTGACAGCTGCTGTATCTGCGCCTGCAACATGAACATCAAGGGTGCTGACGTGGGATTGTACATCCCGGATTCATCCAACGAGGATCAGTACCGCTGCACCTGCGGCTTCAGCGCCATCATGAACCGCAAACTGGGTTACAACTCTGGGCTCTTCATTGAAGACGAGTTGGATATTTTTGGCAAGACCTCGGACATTGGCCAAGCTGCAGAAAGACGACTGATGATCTGTCAAAGCAACTTGATTTCTCAGCTGGGAGAGGGAGCTAGAAGGACCCAAGAACCTCCAATGAGTCTCCTCCTCCTCCTCCAGAATCAGCACACGCAGCCTTTCACATCGCTGAGCTGCTTGGACTACATGTCCTCCAACAACCGTCAGCCGCTCCCGTGCATGAACTGGAGCTACGACAGGCTGCAGGCTGACAGCAACGACTCCTGGATTGAATGCTTCAATGCCCTTGAGCAGGGCAGGCAGTATGTGGACAACCCCACTGGTGGAAAAGTGGATGAAGCCCTTGTCAGAAGTGCCACTGTGCATTCTTGGCCTCACAGCAATGGTATGGGTCAGAACAGATATTTTCTTCCTTTGAATTTGTCTCCTCCATAAATTGGTTTCAAACTTTCCCATCCTGAGCTGCTTCATCTTTATGTAGGAAATAATATGCACAAAAATATTCTATAAAGAAGTAGATTTCTGATAGCTTTATAAATGACAACTGAAGTACCAGTGGTCCAGTTGTCCTTAGACTGTGTGGTCTAAACTGTATAGCAACCTGTAATGAGAGAGACAAGGGGTAATGGATTAAAACTGGAAGTGGAGAGATTTAGGTTGGATATTAGGAGAAAATTTGTTACTGTGGGACACTGGCCGAGGTTGCCCAGGGAGGCTGTAGCTGCCCCATTCCTGGAAGTGTTGAAGGGCAGGTTGGATGGGGCTTGGAGCAACCTGGGCTGGTGAGAGGTGTCCCTGCCCATGCAGAAGGATTGGATCTAGAGGATCTTTAAGGTCCTTTCCAACCCAAACCATTCTATGATGCTATGATCTATGGAAGTTTGCAAATCCGAAAAAGAGATGCAAAACATATTGAGGGGAGGGCAGAATTATGGCCCCTTTTTTTTGGAGAAGGTTATAAGCAATCAAGAATTGCTCTGTATGAAACTGTCACCAAGGAAAAAAAAAAAGGAAGTTATTTTATAATCAAATATTACCTGTTTGTGTGCTGAAGAGGTTCTGACTTGTGAACTGAGCTGGACAACTTAACACTGAAAGGTATGTGAGAAGAACTGTGATGACAGCTTTATTTCAGCAGTGTTTCCATAAAGTGCATATTAAATGCCATCAGGCTAATTAGAGTTGTGCACATTTTATGGACACTGTGAAGAGCAATACAGAAGAACATTAAACCAGGCAATGTTGCCACCTCAAAATAGTGCTTCCTGTTGATCACTGAAAATGACTGATGCTCCTGTGTCCCTTGCAGTATTGGATATCAGCATGCTCTCCTCCCAGGACGTGGTGCGCATGCTGCTCTCCCTACAGCCCTTTCTCCAGGATGCCATCCAGAAGAAGCGAACAGGAAGGACCTGGGAGAACATCCAGCATGTGCAGGGACCACTCACCTGGCAGCAATTCCATAAGATGGCAGGACGGGGAACCTATGGTATGTATCTTGTTGTGTGTGCCAAGAGCTGAAATGGAGCATAATTCTCCAGAAATGGGCACTTTGTTCTGGAAATGTTAGAACCAACAGGCTCTTCACATAGCTTTAACATGCCTGAAAAGGCATTTAAAGCACATGCTTGAATCATGTCGTGGAGGTTTTACCTTCCAGATTGATGAATATTTGGAGTGGAAAAATGCAGGGTGAGGATCAAACTCCCTACCTGAATCTGTGTTTTGACTTGTGCTGAAGCTACCTGGAATACAACTAACAGGAACAGAGGAAGCTGTTAAAATTGTGCCAGTCATGGGGAAGAGGGGATTTCTGAGCTATACAAATGCACTAAGTGGGTATCTTTGCTCTGCCAAGAGGTTTGCTGGTTCTAAGGTTTCCCATAGTCTCTCTAAGAAGTTTCAGTTTAAGTATCCCCTTCTCAAAAGTCACAATCACAGGCCAGATGTGTACCTGCACATTTGCAAAAAAAGTCTGACATTTAAATACCTATTACCTTTTTTACCTATTACCTTCTTTTACTTAATTACCTTTTTTTTCATTCTTAACCAGTGCAGTCTTAGGTTTTTTTCCCTGCAGTTCAGCTGTGCTCTGCTTTATTTTCTCTCTGTTGGTATTAGATATATTGCTGCTTTCCTTTGGGGCTTGAACACTTTGTGGTAAATGCAGCTCCTGTCTAAAGCTGTTGTGCTTCAGGAGGAGCACTTCTAATCTCAGGATTTTTCCAGCATTTGTCACTCTTAAGCTAGGATTTGCCAGTTGGTAGTAGAGAATTAGACCAAACCCACCATGTATGAAATAGCAGGGCCTTCCATACAGATTGAGCAACTTCTACTGAATGTTGGCTGTTTAATAAAGTTGGATTATATTCTGCAGAAACTACTCGGGTACATTTTAGCTTGAAATTTTCTGCAGTGTTTCTTCTAACGAGCACAGTGTCTGGAAGGTGCCATGTTCCACTGGATGGTTCCTCTCAGCTCTGGCAGCAAGTGCTCTAGAGCACTTCCTATGGAGAGCAGCAGGAGGCAGTTCTTAGCATTATGATAATTTTGCTTAGTATTACATACCTGGGAATCAGTTTGCCTAATCATTTTACTTAGTAATTTTGCATGACCAGGTGGAGGTGGGTGAATAACTGTAAAATCAGATTTTATGGATTCTTGTTATTACTTTTGATTGAATAGGAACTTGTGAGATGTGATTATGGTTATGACAAAGTAAAACCATGAGATGAAGCCTCAGGAAGGGCAAGACATATTTATGGTGCACTGAATGATGTTTTATTACAGCTTTCTAGGAAAGTTTAAATGCTGCTTGGATCAGCTCCCTCTCTTGGGCTGAATGAACTTTGATTTTATCACATTTCTTAAGTACAATATAAATCTTTCTTCTCCTTTATTAAATATTATTTTCCAAGGAAGAGGGCTGGGGTTTATCAGGCACAATACGGTCTCTAGAGGTTCCCAGTCTATGGTCAAACTTCTGAGAGACTCAGCGTGGCAAGGAATTAGGGGATTCCAAATATTCCTTTAAAGGAACCCACTTCCTGGTACATCAGAGAACCTGTTGCAGTTACACCAGCTATTTTAACATTTTTTTTCTTTTTTTTTCTCTTTGAAGGCTCTGAGGAATCTCCTGAGCCTCTTCCCATCCCAACTTTACTTGTGGGTTATGACAAGGACTTCCTGACAATCTCTCCATTCTCCTTGCCCTTCTGGGAGAGGCTGTTGCTAGACCCCTATGGGGGCCATCGGGATGTCGCCTACATCGTGGTGTGTCCAGAAAATGAGGCCTTGCTCGATGGAGCCAAAACTTTCTTCAGGGACTTGAGTGCTGTATATGAGGTTGGAAAGAGGAACCACACTGGATTATTTCTTCTTAAGTGTCATTTCTGCTCTATTGCATGTTCATTGGGAGAAATCAGTGGGATTTTTTTTTTTTCAAGTAAAAGTAATTTGAATAAGGATTTTTTTTTTCATTGTGAGTACTTCCTGCACTTCCAGAGTCCAAGAATCCAATCTAATTGAGTTATGCTGTGATTCTCTGCACATTCTGGGGTATTTGTTGCCATCTGCTCTACCCAGCATGCATTCACTTAATTTACAGATATGACACTAGGATTCATACAGTTGCTACCATGAAGGCCCAACCAAACCTAAAAAGCAAGGGGCAGATTTAACAAAACTGTTTTCTGTAATTACCAGGCTGGAGATAAAACCATCTCCTTTTTCAGCATGTGCATTTTGTACCAAGGGATAGGCAAGATGACTTTTAGTTTTGCCCTAAGTGCAGTTCTGGTCAACAGATAAATGTAGCCTTTTGGTTTTATGTTTATTAAAAAGCCACCAGATGTATGCTGGTAATAAGGGTTTACTCTGCAAACCAGGCTGTATAACTTAGGCAGGTGCTTGGCGGCTGGTTACAAGCATTTCTTCTTTCCTCACCAGATGTGTAGGCTTGGCCAGCACAAACCCATCTGCAAAGTGTTACGAGATGGAATTATGCGGGTGGGAAAGACTGTGGCACAGAAGCTGACGGATGAGCTGGTGAGCGAATGGTTCACCCAGCCCTGGGGCACCGAGGAGTGTGACAATCATTCCAGGCTCAAACTCTATGCCCAAGTTTGCCGGCATCACCTCGGTAAGTCCAGCACTTGTTGGCCTCCTGGAGGTGTCCTGGAGGGTGTTTGCAAGAGGTGGAAACAAGGTGCTTTTTCCATAGGTACAGATCATGATCTGTTCTAAGATTTAAAAGAAGTATTATGAGGCTTTATCTTAATTTCTTAATCAATTTCATGTTAAATTTGCCTACTTCAGAAGGTTTTGTAGCCATTCATCAGTCTGGTGATCATACCAGAGATTCAAAAGCCAATTCTTATCTTTTTATTCTAGAAGTCAATTTGGTATAAAGTGGTTTGTGTCTCAAAAGATGTTGCACATGAGACTGAATGTGTGAATTGATCTGGTTCTTGTGCTACCGATACGTGTGATCAGCCCAGTGTGGCATAATGATATGCATAATGCCTTCAAGCATAACATTAATTTATGTAAAAGGCAAGTTCAATAAAACTCTGCAAAGGAAGAGCAAGTTAGCACAGGTGAAAAGAGTGTCCTTGATGACCAGAGCTTCAGTATACTGAGTGTGGATACTTGGAACCACATTACCATGAAGACATGGTCTCCTGGACCTTCTGTAGGCTTATTTCCATCCTGAAGCAGTGATATATTTTAAAAGCATAGTTTTGTTGCTGTTTTTTTTTAAATTATTTTTTATGGAAACCTGCCATATTTGTTCTTCTCTAACATAACATCAGGGGTGCTTGTTTCATGAAGGAGTGTGGAAGCTGAGTGTGGAAAAGTGTAAAGTTTATTGGGGTAGTGTTAGAAGACTGGTCCTGGCTGAGCCTCGATGAGTGTCTGGAATCTTAACAGGTTTCATCTGGGGAGAGACATGGTTGTTCCATCCCAGAATGGGTCCAGAAGCAACATAACAAATATTGTGTCTATGACTTAAAAATGGGATCTTAGCACAAGACACAGACCCATCCAAAACGTTACTGGAAACACATTTGCTGAGATCAGGGGTGGTCAGCAAGACAGGCAGTGGTCATAAAGCACCAGCCAGGTGAAGGTTGCATTTCTCAGCTGAGACGTGCCAATGTTTTGTTTGCTTGTTTGTTTAAAAAGAGACATGAACTTTTAAGTGATTTCTTGGAAAGCACCTACTTCCTTTGCTCTGAAAAAGGTGTCACAACACTTAATTCTGTGTGCTTTGGGGATCTAGTTGTGGAAAAAAGTTGAAGCTAACATATCAGAGTTAGCTGGGCAGTTCTACAGACTGCTGAATGCTGTCCCCATCCTTTGAGGAACGTTAAGCAGACTCATCTGTCTCAGAAGACCTTATTTTTTATTCATTTATTACTTAAAAATAATCACTGTGATAGCTCTCTGATACTGAGGAGCAGAAATAACTATTAAGTTTGCCATTGCTGTAGCTCAGGTAAAAAGGAGTTGTAGATTTTCAGTCTAACAAAGATAACCTGTAGCAGGTGGCAGAGCTGAGCTCTGTATAAAGTTCTTATCACAACACAATCTGGCCAGAGGTAACGATGTGTCAGTACCAACTTGTATTCACAAAGCTCTGCAAAGAACCCCTGCTTCTTCTCTAAGAACCCCTGTTCTTAGAGAGATTTCATTCCTATCAGTTAGACCCAAAACCCTGCAGAATGGATTCCAAAGTAAATATTTATAATGGAGATTATATTCACTTTGCATTTTTACACTGTTAGAATACTCTAAAATGTGTGACTTGATGGTTAATGATGCTCCCTGATCTGACAGACTGTCAGTAACCTCCTTTCCTCTCCACATGCACTGCAGCACCTTACTTAGCCACTCTGCAGCTCGACAGCAGCCTCTTGCTGCCACCCAAGTACCAAACCCCGGCACCAGCGAGCCAGCCTCAAACAGTACCTGGGAACACTGGACCTGGACCCTCCAATCCAACCTGTCTGTCTGCTGCTGGGGCAGCACCGACGGGCAGCTCACTGAGCTCCACACCCAGTGGTGGGACCACTAGCCTTCCTGCAGGAAGCAGTTCATCCTCTGGATCCTCTGTGCCACAGCTGTCAGCATCTTCTGCAACACCTGGTGTGAGCCAGATGGCCAGTACCTCTACTCCAGGGTTTAGTGGGAACATCGGGTCAGGGCAAAGCACCAGCACTGGGGCAAACACAGCAGAGCGCTCACAAGGAAGTGCAGCTCCTGGAGGAGACACGGAATCGGGTCAAAACTTACCACAACAGCAACAAGAAGGACAGGAAGGGTAAGCTACTTTAAATGCTCAAATGACTCAAAGTGCTCAAATTGAATCTGCTGTCCTGTTTTCATGCAACCTTTAACCTTGTATAGATCCTTGGAAGGAAAAGAGCCTCTGACATGCAGTGCTCTGACCAGCTCTAAATAGAGTAGGGCCCAGTTTTATTTGTAGTAGTTACTGATAAAGGGGAGGTGGAAAAAACAAACCCCCACTACTTCAACTCAAGAAATAAAGCTCGACTCAGCTGGTTGAACATGGGTGTTGTGGTGCTGTTGGGGATGCCTTAGTACACCCCACTTGCCGTGCATTTGCAGGACAGGAAAAGCACGTGTCTCCCAGGTTCTGTGCTGTATCTGCTGGCTCAGTCTCACGGGTGTCAGGTACTGCAGGACATCTCCTGTGGCCCTGAATGCCCCTTTAGCCCAGGCAGATCCATCACACACCTGTGAAGTTAACAGATGCAAAACACAATTCAGGGATTTCTTCCTGATCTGCTTGCACTGCAAGTATTGCATTGCAGGCAGGTTTACAGTGAGATCAGGATTATATTGCTGTTGCTCTAAAATAAATTTTAGCAACACAACTTTTTTAAAGACTTCATTATAAATAGTCATCCATCAGACTTGAAAATTAGGAAAAGGATTTTTAACATCTTATGTAAGTAACTTCCTGAGTGAATGTGGTTTTCATTACTCTCATCATAATGCATATTGCTAATAGTCATGCTCTATGTTATGGAGTTCCTGTATCTTAAGTGAAAAGCCCACATCCTGTTATAGTTGGGGTTATCCCTAAGACATCTGCTTACTGGATCTCTGTAAAACACCATCAGCTGCAGTGTGGTGTCTGACCCAGCAGCCTGAGCTGCTTGTATCACTTCCAGATGTCGAGCCTCCTGTTCATGGCTGATGCAGGGAGGAGTTTTCCCAAGTAAAATATGTCCAGTTCCTCCTTCCAGTAGAACCATTTCTGCAACTAAACAGAGGACTTCAGCATCCATGAATATTATTTTGGCATTTTTCTGCCGTTCTCAACTCCTTCTGTCCCCCTTCCACTTCTCCCAAAAGAAAACCTTGAACAGCACCCAAGCCCAGTCATGTACATACAGAAATGGAGAACCCAGAGCTCATGTTAGCCAGCTTTTCCATATTGTTCACACACAATCTGTTGTGATTGCCTTAAATGACATTATGTTAGACTTTATGGTAGGTATCTTTAATGCATAATTAGTAGCAGGTATTAAGAACTGCTGTGACTAAAGGTCCTCTCTCCTTAATCGTTGTTGTCATCTTAGTTTTGCTTCTGACCATGAGAATCATTTAGTACGCCCATTTTTCCTCCTCTGCTTCAGCCTTGCACACCTTTACAGGAGAACAGTAATTAACAGCTGTAACTTGCTTTTGAATGTTAACAACCCTCCTGTCTGTAGTGTTACAGAGAGGGAGAGAATAGGGATTCCCACCGAGCCTGACTCTGCCGACAGCAACGCCTACCCTCCAGCTGTTGTCATCTACATGGTGGACCCTTTCACCTACACTGCAGAGGAGGAATCTGCCTCCACCAACTTCTGGCTCCTAAGTTTGATGAGATGCTACACAGAAATGCTGGATAACTTGCCTGAGAATATGAGGAATTCTTTCATTCTCCAGGTAACTCTGCCTTCCTCTGTACCCTCACACTGGAGGGTCATTCTGTCACACTGTACACTTGGTACATATGCTATCCTGAAAAATTCAAAACAGAAGATATCATATCAAATTTCGGTAACATTTGCAAATTATTTTGTTTCAGAAATCAATTGAAGGGAGCCATGGTATCCTGCATCAAATCTGTTGCATGGTTCTAGCAAGCCTAAACACTAGATGCTTCCTGAAAAGGGATTTCAATTATTTAAGTTGCAATGTGGGTTTCCACTGCCAAAACCATCCAGTTGCTCCTTGGATTACTTTCCATGTTGGGTTGTTTGCTTTTCATATTTGCTCTGATTTATACTTTTTAATCCAGAAGCAGTAAGTGAAACCAGACATTTAATGCATAATTTAACTATTGTATTGTTATTATCTGCTTCTTAAAAATAATTTACCATGTAACTTGGCATATAATAATAGTTACTTACTATGGAATTTCCTAAGAATTGAATTTGTATAGTCAGAAGCAGAGCTTGGCCTGTTGCCCAGCCTGCATGCACGTTGCCATCCCTGCTCTGCTCCCACAGAGCCTGAAGAAACGAGGGGGGAGAAGGGGAGGCCAGAGATTTACAGCCTGTGCATGCACATGTGAAAACATGCAAGCACTAGCATGTGAATGACTTCTGAATTCATGTATGCTCAACTTTGCTTAAAGTTATTTTATTTTAAATTATTAGAAAAAAAAAGAAAATAATTAGAATTTCTTCTAGTGTCTCAAATTGGCAAGGAAGACATTTGTCATTTTTGGTCATCTTGACCTCCCAATTCCCTGAAAAGATGGGGGAAACTGTCACTCAAATGTTTTAGGCTTGGGGATGAACTGAAAATCAAATTAATAACTTCATACTGTGGAAGGCTGAAGGCTATTAAATTGATTCAGACCTGAAGATAATAAAAATAAAATAACCATTGATATTGCCATGTCTGAAATACAAGAACATGTAAACAGTGTCTTGAAATTGTTTCTTAGTCTGTATAAGACAACTAATGAGTTTACAAATTCTTCCTAAGTGCTGTTTATTTTCTGGGCACTTACCCCTTGTTTCTCAAAACATGTGGCATTTTGCCAGCATAAGTCAAAACAGAAGACAATTTTCTCTAAGTAAAGGGTAACAGGATATAGTTACCAGCACGATAATTCCCACAGCTGTACCATAGTATACACAAATATGGGGTATTTCAAAACAAATCAAACCCAAACGTTTACAGATTCATTACAACTCATATGGAATGGAAAAGCCCAGCTCCTGAAATTCTTGGATAAAAAGTTTTCTTTTAAAATCACACAGGCATATTTAGTAAGTAGAAAATGCTACCAGAGTTCCAGTGATTCAGACAAGAACCAGAGTCATAAAGGCTTTATTACCTAAGTTTTATTATGACTAAAAATTTTTGTTAAAAGCATGTGCTTGGGTCTCATAGTGTTAGATGCAACGTAAACATTTTGTATTGATTGTTTCTGCTCCAAAGATCTTGCTGTTGCAAAGAAAAGACACATGTGTAGGACCATATTTCTCAGCAGTACATTTATTTTTAAAAAGTGAGTTTACAGGGATTTTATTCTTACTTTAAAAAGCATGTGAACTTAAAAGATATTTTTTTGTGCTCTGTTACCTTCTCAAGGAATGTTTCTCCTTCCTATTCTTATTGTTCGGATGAGTCTTAACTCCCAAACTCAAACCTCCACAGCTAGTTTTACTGTAGTTTGTTTCTTGATGGTTGAACATATGAGTTTAACTATCTGGCTTCACAGAACTTTCTGAAACAAATGCAAATGAACAGCAGCATAAGATTGTTGAGGTTCCACTGTTCACTTACGTGAAAAGGAGAAGCAACCACATAAGTCATTGTAATAGAATTTTAATCCTGCTCTCTACAGTCTCCTCTAAGACTGACACCCAGCTGTTCATTCCCACATGACCAGCATACAAATCCCAATTCTGACCACAGACTGTGGAACCAAACCTGCCTAAACTTGAAATTTGGAATTCAGAGATTTCTTAGTAAAGTTGACCTGCAAACAAAAATGTTGATCAGAAAAACTGTTTTTAAAAAAAATAGAGATGTTTGAATATGGTTGTTTGGTTTTGGACTGAGAATTTTTAAAGTTTAATTTTAAAAAGTGGGTTTCTCATTCAATGATTATAACTCAGAAAGCAAAATTACTGTAGAATTCCCAGTGCCAGCTCCTAGAGATGTGCTGTGGTACTGGTCAGCTGGTGTTGCCATGCAAGAGAACTCTTCTGTTATATTGGACACAAGGAGTCTTGGCTTTCTGAGAGATTTTACAGCCTTAAATATATCACTGTAATGGGAACAGCAGCTTTGTGTCAGGGAATGCAGTGGCTGGATGGTGTAGCCACTCCTGCAGAAGGGCAAGCAGCCCTGACAGGAGGCTACAGACACTCGTGCCCATAATTCAGTACCACAGGCACAGCATTATTAACTGCCTAATGACTGTGTGACTCTGGTTTGATATTAATGAACAGCTCTTTGAAGACTTTAAATCATGTTTTATTGTTTATATGAATTTTCTAGATTGTGCCTTGCCAGTACATGCTGCAGACAATGAAGGATGAGCAGGTTTTCTACATTCAGCACTTGAAGTCTCTGGCATTTTCCGTGTACTGCCAGTGCAGGAGGCCTCTGCCCACCCAGATCCACATCAAGTCTCTCACAGGCTTTGGGCCAGCTGCCAGCATTGAGATGACCCTCAAAAATCCTGAGGTTGGTATTGGTGTCAGGAAAAGCCTGCTATGAAACTGTAACTTCAACTTTTTAGGAGTATTTTTTCAAGCTATACAAGGCAATCATAGAAAGGGAAAAGGTCAGGAAATACTAAACAGGAAATAATAGGAAAAATGTCACATTACTTGCTTTCCAAATATTTTAAGCTTCTGGTTTTGAATCATGAAGTAAAAGCTTAATTTAAAGTTCAGTGTGAAAGAAGAGGAAGTATATACCTTTACATGGGATTCTGAGACATTCTGTAGTTTTAGTCTATAGAACTCCTACAATGAAGTGTTTGTGTTCAACCTTTATTTAGATACATATATATATATATGCATATATATGAAATAAGTTCATGTGCCTAATTACAGATATTACATTAATTCCCTGAGGTAATGGAGAAATCCCCCTTTTTCAGTGGGCTTATCTTTCATCTGCTTTTTAAACTGTAAATATTCAAACCCTGTTTCTGAGATCTCAGGGATTTCAAAAGAATAATCCATCCCACCTTCCATGAATGTTTTCCATTCTTTGAAAGATAACGATGACTGGTTTTTATTTAAATTTAATGGACCAGGGAAACACTTAAAGACTTACCATGGGATAAAGACATGCTTGTTAAGGTTTAAAAACCTAGTTTCAAAATCATTATAAAACCAACCTATCAGCACATTTCATTACTCATGTAAAACCACAAGCTCTCACTGAACATTTCTAAAAGCAGCATCACCCCGGGCATCTTTTCCTCAGGTTCTCTCCTCACGCTTCCCTCAAAAGGTCTCTGTTCAGCAGGGTGGATTTTGCAGGAAGTTAAAACACTCACACTTCAAGCTATTTAGGTGTAAGGGGAAGAGAAATAAACTTGCAAGACCCCTGCAAGCATCTCCCTCCCTTTAATTAATATTCCTGCAGGGTTCCCAGGGTGCTGTACTTCTAGGTGGTGACAGCAGCAGAAATAAGATACCCCTTAATGTCTCTAAGAAAGCACCATAACTTAATATTCCTCTAAGCTGATTAACATGCACTTTGCATTTCATGTTTAATTTCAGGACGAAACAAAAAACACCCAAAAAGGGGCAGAGGTTTGGATGAGCAGCTTGCATTTAGCTGCTCATTTGAGGTGTCTGCTTTTCCCATTTTTCATGCATTTCCTATTGATTTGCACTGCAGACTTCCAAGCTCTGCCTGAAAAAAATTAGGAGAGTGCCCATACCATCTCTTAAGTTATTGAGCATGTCTGGTCAGGCTCATTTTTCTCTTCAGAGAGGAGTATAAAGCAAAGATGGGCTTTGGGCCGACCATGTGGGAAGCAGCCCTGGAGGTCCTGTTGGACAAGCCAGCAACGTGCCCCTGCAGCAGAGCTACCAGCAGATGGGGCTGCCTTGGCAAGGGGGCTAACAAGGGAGCATGGGGAGGGATTGTTCTCTCCTCAGCACAGGTGAAGCCTCACCTGGAATGTACTGTGTGCTTCAGAGCTCCTCAGTACAAAAGACATGGACATTGCAGAGCAAATCCAGCAAAAGGCCACCAAGGTTAAGGGGTGGGAGCATCTGACACCTGAGGAGACGCCGAGAGCTGCCGTTGTCTGAACAGGAGGGCTCTGATGAATGTGTATAATAAATACCTGGTGGCAGGGAGTAAAGAAGGTGGAGCCAGGTTCTTCTCAGTGGTGGGACAAAAGGCAGTGGGAACAAATTGAAATAAAAGAAATTACCTTTAAACAAACAAAACCAGAAAATATTTCTACTGTAGGGATGATTGAAAGCTGGAAGTGGTGGCCTAGGCAGGCTGAACAGCCCTGCTGTGCGAGATGATCTCTCCACTATCTCTGTATGTCCAGTGATTGAGACACTCAAGAGTCCTGGGCAACCTGGTCTAATCAACCAGGTTAGAGCATGGGACTAGATGATTAGAGGTCCCTTCCAGTCTCAGTCTCCTGTGACTTTATGACCGGTCATAAATAAAAGATGGATTTAATAATATCTTCATGTCAAGCTCTGCAGGAGGACTGAACATGTATCATTTACAATGCTAATTTGTGTCTGCTTATCATTAAGTGGTGTTGAATAGCCTTGATTTCTTACAACCTTTTAGAGGTTAGTTTTCTGAGGGGTGAAGGGTAGTTTGTTTCTTCAAGAGAAGCACTATCACATCTTCAGCAGATCTGATGAATCAGTTCAGTTCTGTTTTGAAAACAGGAGTATTTCTGAAATTAACCTGCCAGCTTATAAGACTTAAAGAATTTCTGACATCATGCCTGATGTCAGTAGAGTCAGTTACACAGATAAAAACTGTACATGAAGTCTGAACACTACAAGGAGTCCTCTGCCTCACATCTGGTCACCCTGTCTGTTGCTCTTTACATAATGGGAATTAAGGGAGTTGAGCAGATGCCATCAATTTTAGCAAAAGGATAAACAGGATCACAGGTTTAAACTCCTGCCTGTCTCAGAGATGGACAGGTATCATCCTGTCCAAAGACTATTTCTTACCTTATACTCTCTGTATGTTTGGAGAAATCTTAGGTAAGTTCTGAAGTGCATCAGTTTTAATTAGCAGCAATGATACCACAGAATCACCTTGGCTGGAAAAGACCTTTAACATCAACAAGTCCCACCATTAACCTAACACTCACCAGTCCTCATATCCCCTATGTCTGTATTACTCTTGAGCACCTCTAGGTATTTCAGATTTATCTATAACCACCCTTTTCCCCAATATCTCTTGACTATGAATGCCTCAAATTTATTTATTTCAAACTCACATTATTCTGCATTTGCTGCCTTTTTGAGTTTCTTGCATTAAATAGTTTTTGGTATATGTGATGATCGTGTTGCCTTCATTGCAGAGGCCCAGCCCAATCCAGCTGTACTCTCCTCCTTTCATCCTGGCACCCATCAAAGACAAACAGACAGAGCTGGGGGAAACATTTGGAGAGGCCAGTCAGAAATACAACGTGCTCTTCGTTGGGTATTGTTTGTCTCATGACCAGCGTTGGCTTCTGGCATCCTGCACTGACCTTCATGGGGAATTGCTGGAAACCTGCATAGTTAATATTGATTTACCAAACAGGTAGAAACCTTTATTACTTACATGATATCTGGGTCTATAGGCGTCATCCCTCACTGTTATTAGCTTCTTGCAGGTCCCTTCCGATTGTGTTTCCTG